CCCACCCCTGCCCGCAGTACTACTGCTGCAAGAGGGACGAGCCTGAGGAGGACGAGGAGGAGCCGGACTTCGCCGTGCACTCGCACCTGCCGCCGCTGCACTCCAACCGCAACCTGGTGCTGACCAACGGGCCTGCGCTCTTCCCCGCCGCCTCCTTCAGCCCCCCCACGCCGCAGGCCCGCGCCCTCTGCCGCAGCTGCTCCCACTACGAGCCGCCCAGCTTCTTCCTGCAGGGGCCCGAGGACGAGGGCGTGCGCAACGGCGGGGAGCGGGTGGCCTGCAGGAGCGCCAGCCAGGAGGACCTGGCGCTGCCGCCCGGGGCCGGGGGCCTGCAGCCGCTGAACCCCGACCGCCTCTCGGCCTTGCGGGGGGCCTTTTCGCGGAGCCGCAGCATCAGCACCGACGTCTGACCGGTGCGCCGGTGCCCCCCGCTGGCCCTGAGACCATGGCGGGAACCCCCGGGCACGCACCCAGGCCCAGCCCGGCCTGCCCCACACCCCTGTCGCCCCGCGGGCCCTGGGCTTGGGGCGCCTGGGTCCCGGTCTGGGGGGCGCCCTGGGGCTCAGTGCAGGGCTAAGGCGGGTGCCGGGGCTGCCCTCCAGGTGGGGGCTGCAAGGGGCAGACGCCATGCAGCACCTGGCCCCCGGGGCCAGGCCCCCGCCCCAGCCTGGGGGACAGCGGATCCCGCCTCAGGCCCAGCGCCTGGCCACCTCTGGCCAGGCAGCCGGGCTGGTCTCCCGGGGCCACAGCCCACCTGCCCGGTCTAGGAAGTGGGGTCCATCGGGGCTTGGCGGCCTCCCCGGGACACGGCAGACCGAGGTCTCCGACCACGAGTGTCGGGCGGCTGGACACTGGCTGTGCTGTGCTCCCTGCGGGCCTCCAGAGGGGGACTCTGATTCTAGGATGGCAGGGCTTTGGGGGTGCGCAGCCCACTGGCTTTAGGGTGAAGGGGGCACAGAGGCAGGAGGAGGCTGCATGCTGGCTACCTGCTTTGGGAACAGCCCTCTCCACACAGCACCCCAGACTCCCACTGTGGGGGCGCACGGCCCTGGCCCGAGTCCTGGCCTCCCCCAGGCTGGCCTCTGTCTCCCCTTCCCCGCAGTGGGCCCGCCTGCCCCCAGGGCGACAGGCCCGCCCTCTCCCACCAGCCGGTCCTGCTCCCAGGCTAAGCTCCTCTCAGCCCACCCTCACCGCGTTGCCACTGGGGGACACACAGGACACAGCCCCTCCTGGTCAGACTCCACCTCTCCAGTGTACGGCCCGGGGCCCCGACCCCTTGGGGGACTCAGCCCCTGTGCCCTGTGGGGACCCCCAAGCTTAGGGGGCCCCCGTCTGCCCAGGAAGCCAGGCCAGGCTCCCCAGCTCAGCCGTCTTCCTGAGGCAAACTCGGGCCGAGGCCCCTGGGCGGGACCCAGCGCTGTGGGTGCCCAGGGCCACGCCGTGGGGGGCCCGGGGGAGGCGAGGAGCTGGCGCTGTGCTCCGCCCGCCCGGCTGTGCCCTTCCTGCTCCCCGGCCTCGGTGTGGACAGGCCAGTGCACTGGCCCAGCTGCCCCCGGAGCCCTCTCCTTTGTCCAGACCCACGACTGCGCCGAAGCACTGGCTTGGGGCAGGCCCGGGCGCGGCACGTCCTGTCTGTCCTGTTTCCTGTGTCCTGTTCCGCCCTGGCCTCTGTGTAGATACACACATCCGTGTGAGGTGAGACGGGCCCCGTCCGCCGAGCCCGCGCGGCCACCCTGGGACCTGGGGCCCTGCTCCCCAGGAAGCCGGTGCCAATAAAGCCCCCGCGGCACCCTCTCCGCCTCCAGCCCCCGGGACTCGTGTGGGCAGCTTCGCAAGGGCACGGGGGGCGGGGGGGGCCGGCCGCACGGAGGAGGGGGAGGGCGACGGCAGGCGGTGGGGGAGGGCAGGGGGCGCAGACCCCGGCTGGACCCTCCCCGTGGGCAGGCTGCAGACCCTGGACTCACCTCTCCTGGAGTCAGACCGAGGCCTGGAGTGACCCATCCATGGCCTCAGCGGACCTTCAGTGGCACTGAGACCGCTGCACCCCTCCCTGCCGTCCTGAACCCCTCTTGGTGGCCCCGCTCAGTGCCGGCTTGGGACGAGCTGGCCCAGCGTCCCGGGGAAGCAGTCTGTCACCGCCCAGTCTGTCACCGTCGCCCAGGAGACCCCCCCGTGGCAGGGCCCAGCCCCGGCCACTCTGCCGGGGCCGCACCGAGTGTCTGGCCTCCTCGCAGCTCCTCCTGTCCTGCTGCTGGACGGGCCTGGACACCGCCTCCCTGGAGGGCCTCCCACGGGCCGTGCTTCCCGGGAGGCCTGGCAAAGGGAACACTCCCTGAGGGCTAACGTGCCTCCCCCCACCAGTCTCTGCCCTCCCAAGCAGGAAAGCGAGGTTCCGGTCATGGGCCTTCCACCAGGCCCTGCCAGGCCACCGCCTATGTCCCACTGGACCCACCGACACCAACCTGCCTGGGCCCCTGCCCAGTGCCTCCAGACACCCCCAGGGGTCTCCACGCCCCACACCAGTTGACAAGTTCAAGAATTCCACTCAGCTCTGACCGAGAGAGCCCTGGCCGCCCTGCCTGCAGGCCTCGAGTTGGTCCCTCTGCTACCCCCAGTGCCCAGGGAGCCTTGATCAGCCCCAGCCCAGCCCCCCACCCCGCAGCCCCGCAGCCCCAGCCCGGCCCAACCCCAGGCCTCAGCAAATGTCCCGGTGGGGGTGCAGTGAGAGCACCCGCAGACGGCCCCACGCCCACGCGGAGCCCCGTGCGCCATAAATAGACCTTTATTGACAAACACCAGGAGCAGGCGCGAGGCGCCCTCTGCCCGCCCTCTGCCCGCTCCCTCTGCGCACGGCC